CACCTAGACATATAATAGTCAAGATCCCAGAAACCCAACAGAAGAACAAAATTCTGCAAGCAGTTAGAGAAAAGAAACAAATCACCTACAAAGGAAAGTCCATCAGAATCATGGCAGATTTCTCAACACAAACCCTCAAATCAAGGAGAGCCTGGAGTGAAGTATTTCAAGCCCTAAAATAAAATAACTTCCAACCTAGACTGTTGTATCCAGCAAAATTATCTTTCAAAATCGATGGGCAAATTAGATACTTTCACGATAAACAACACCTGAAAAATTTCGTGAACACCAAACCAGCACTCCAAACAATTTTAAGCAATATCCTAGGAAAAGGCAATGAAGGTCACAACTCCATGAGGCCCAACAGAGAGAAGGCACCAGGCAAGGTAAGACACTAAAGGGAAAGGGCGGGAAATAAGAAAGAAAATAGCCAACAACAGTAAAACATCATGACAAGGATGACTCAATATCTATGAATTTTAACTATCAATGTTAATAGGCTCAATTCACCAATCAAAAGAAATAGACTGAGAGAATGGATTAAGAAGCAAAATCCAGCAATATGCTGTATACAAGAAACACACCTAACTGAAAAGGAAATTCATAGACTGAAAGTAAAAGGATGGAAAACAGTTCTCCATGTGACAGGATCCCAGAAAAAAGCAGCGGTAGCAATCTTATTTGCAGACAAAGTAGATTTCAAACCAAAACTAATTAAGAGAGAAAAAGATGGTCACTACATATTTGTGAAGAGAACAATCCAGGAGGAAGAGATGACGATCCTAAATATATATGCACCAAATACGAATGCCCCCAACTATACAAAACAATTATTGATGTACATGAAAAACCAAATAAGCACTAATACAATTGTAGTGGGGGACCTCAACACCCCTCTATCACAAATAGACAGATCAACTAGAAAAAGAATTAACAATGAAATTCTCGAACTGAACCAAGCTATTGAACAAATGGACTTAATAGATGTTTACAGAGTGTTCCATCCCACAAAATCAGAATATACATTCTTTTCGGCTGCACACGGGTCATTCTCCAAAACAGATCACATGCTAGCTCATAGGACATATCTAAGTAAATGTAAAAGAATTGAAGTTATCCCCTGTATACTATCAGATGATAGTGCAATAAAATTAGAGATCAATAACATAAGAAACCGCAAAACTCCCACAAAAATATGGACATTGAATAACACCCTCCTGAACAACCAATGTGTCACAGAGGAAATTAAAGAAGAAATTAAACAGTTTCTACAAGTAAATGATAACACCAGTACAACATACAGGAATCTGTGGGACACAATGAAAGCAGTTCTGCATGGCAAATTCATAGCAGTGAATGCCCATGTTAGGACAACAGAGAGAACTCAGTTAAATAACTTAATGCAGTACCTCAAGCTCCTAGAAAAAGAAGAACATAACAAACCCAAAGCTCATACAAGAAAGGAAATTATAAAGATCAGA